AACTGAAACTAAACCCACCAGCAGTTTCCCTGCTGCAGTCTCCGTCCACATTCCTGGCAGAGGTGTCACCTCCCCCCCCGCCCCCACTCCCCTGGCTCAGGTGACAGGCTCTCAGGTCTCCCATCCCCAGGGCACATTCCCAGGTCAACACTCCCCCCTCCCTGCTGAGTCACATCGTCACAGTGGTCAGTGGACCTTAACATGATGAAGAATAGCAACATCACAGCGGGTGCTAACCGGCACACTCACTGGCAGTCTCTGCTGTAAGGCTAAGGGGCATGGATGTCACCCTTTCAACTCTGAGGTGGCAGCACAGGAGAGAGACTCATTTGCAAGGCAGCGTGTCAAAGCTTGTGCTCCCGCTACCTTTTCTGGTGCTAAACTGAGCACTCCTGTTTCGAGTGCTGTTAATTCAGCCCAGTTCAAAATTAATTTAAACATTAAAGAAAGGAGGAGTGGGGAGTGAATGAGCTTAGCAGTCACTCTAAGCAGTCACTCTACAAACCAAAAGGTGAAGCAATCAACCATCAAGCAGCCACATATTCTTTGGCAGAGATGATGTGCCACTTCCTGTCACTAACCATATTTAGGTGGGCTGCAGGAGAGTCATGAAGTCCTGCCTCTTGTTTAAAAAGAAGCTGTTTTCAGCCATTAAAGGATGTGTTGTCATGAGCCTGTCATTGTGTAAAGTGTATTTCTTTGAGAGCTGAAGATGTGCAACTCCTGGTCCCAGACTTCAACTAGCTAAGGGGAGAGAGTGTGCTAGAAGAAAGAGGTTCCTGTGGATGCAAATTGGATTCCAAAAGGCTGAAAGATCTAGCTCCAGCAGGCTGAATGCAATCCCCACCCTCACCCCTGCAATTTTATTTGTATTTGTTCTCCAAGTTTGGGCCCATCTTTTGTTAAGAGGGTTAATGAAATATTTCTTCAGTTTAAATTGCAAGGATGTAGAATGTAGTTGCTCAAAATAGAATTTGAGAAGGAAACTGGAGCTAAGCTATCTGCTCTTAAAAAGCACTATGGAGTCATTATTCATCACAAATTAACTTTGGTTTTATATCTTATCTGTGAATGTCATATATCTATCATACCTATAGGGCACCAATCCTCATCACCAGGCATGTTATATAATCCCCCCACCAACCTCTCTTGGAGTACAAAGCTGCTCAGGTTGCCTTTTCTCTGTGTACTTTAGTTTCCACGTGCAATGAGTGTAGGGCTGAGTGAAGTGCTTATACCCATATTAATATGTGATTAGACACTAAGAAATTGCATGTGCTAATTTTCTGTCATCTCAACTTCCTATTCCAGAAACAGTTCAGACCCTTAAAAAAAAAAAAAAAGAAGAGGTTTTTGTCCTTGGCATTGGATTTTCCAGCAAGTGGTTGCTATAGCAATAATTTCTCTGGAAATGCTGTATTTAAAATGCCAGTTCCTGTGAGCCACCTCACTCCTTGTGATGCACTGATCACCAGCTTCCTTCTGCACCTCACTTACCCCACCTGAGGAATATGGAGGGTCACATCTCCTTTCACTGGCCCGACTCCCATAGCCTCCTCTTAACAAAATAAAATAAAATGGTTTTCCTTTTGAGACTTGTCTTTTTATTGTTACTAAGTGCTTCACACCTCTTACCCTATATGCTTCCCTTTTATTATTAATTACTCTAATTTGGTTATAATAGTGTACGGGAGCATGAGGTTGAGGCTGAGCAGTAGTTCATGGGCCAGGGTTTTAGCCCCCCAGGGTATGTGTGTTGGATTTATCTAGGAATTGTGGGTTAGATCCTCAGGTGATAATTTCCATTGAGCTATTTTGATTTACAATGGGAGAAGGTCCAATCTTGTTGTCTCTAGTGCACTGATTTGTTACACTGGCCTAACTGTGCTGTGCTTCTTGTGTAAAATCTGAGATGGGTTATTTGATGGGTCTTTTCTTTGGTTCTTCCAAAGTCTTAGTCAGGAAGAACAGAGATGGCATCTTTCCCGGACATTATAAGGCTCTGCTTGTAAAATAGCATTGTTTTTATTACATTGGTGTTGTGGGTGTGAGCTAGTGCATTTGAGCTGATAAGGTATATTGAAAAGGTCTGGCATCGTATACTCCTACCTTCCCTTCCTCTTCAAGGTCTGCTTGAGAAGGAAGCAGCTGGGTGAGTTGCTGATATCATCTCAGGAGAGGAAACACTAGTCAGAAGAAAATCTCTGTAAGCAGGGTCTGAATGAGTTTTCCTCTGCCCTCCGAGGAATTGGGAGGGAAAGACACCAAGAGCAGACTGTATTTGCATAGACACACCTTCAGAGGTGCTAAAACAATTTGTGTAGCAGGGGTGCTGAGAGCCATTGAACGAAACTGTAAATCCTGTTTTTGATGGAAACCACTTCAAGCCAGAGGGTGCAGCAGCACCCCCAGCACTCCTAGTTCTACCCCCTATGAGGACATTTCCACGTGAATCCAAGACTGAAGTAAATTTTAACCCAAAACAGACAATTGATCACTTTGGCAAAGCAGGTCTGTCTGCTGATCACCTAGCTGCCTGCCAGCGATGGGGGAGGAGAGAAGGCCTCAGCATTGGCTGCTCCGGGCTGTATGCCCATCCGCTTCAGGATCCCGGGGGCATGCCCTGCCTCTCCCTGCTGCTCTGCAGAAGCAGCGGGCTGGGGAAGTCGGCGGCTCTTCCCCCCGCCCCGCAAGGAAATGCCTCCTCTCCACCGTGGGCACCACCAGTGCCCGGCGGGTAGGGCTGGTGGGACCCTGGGGGATGGGGCCACTGCCACTCTGTGCTCCTGAGCTGCAGCTGTCCTGTCCCCTAGCACTGTGCTGGGGGGTGGGGGTGGGGTGGGGGGGATCCCTGCTTTGTGCTGGGTCAGCAGAGCCAGTAAGTGTGGCTGGGGGGAAGGGCTTGGGGCAGTGGGTATGTGGGGGGGTGCTGGGCTGTGAGGGGGCAGGGGGCATTGGGCAGTGGGGGAGGTTTGTGTGTTTTGGGGTGCTAGGCAGTGAGGGGATCTGTTGCGGGGACAGTGGGGGAGGTCTGGGTGTATTAGGGTGCTGGTCAGTGAGGGGGTCAGTGTGGGATGCTGTGTACTTGTGGTGATAGGGCTGTGGGGAAGAGTGCTGGGGGAGATCTGTGTGTGTTGGGGTGCTAGTGGGGGACTAGGATGCTGAGTAGTTGAGGGGTACTAGGGAGTTGTGATGGGGCTATGGGTGGGGGTGTACAGAGCGCTGTGCATTTGTGGGGTGGGGATCTGTGGCAGGGAGCTGGGCATAGTAGGTCTGGGGGGCACTGGGCTTAGGGAATCGGGGGGTGTTAGTGCTGGGGGCTGTGTGGCACAGTGCAGGCCCAGCCCTGAGGGGAAGGGGCACGCTGGCAGCAGAAGGCCTGGTGGGTTTGTTAACAGTGCCCTCGCACTGGGCTGGGCGGGGTGGGGCCACCCCTGCCATGCCATGCCATGCCATGCCCTGCCCCATTGCCCCTGGCCTGCCCCTTGCTCCAGGGACCGAACTCCCCATGCCATGCTTCATTGCCCCCATAGGGGCCCACAAATATGTTTGGCACAAGGGCCCACAAAAGGTTAATCCGGCCCTGTTTCAGAAGTGACAGGTGAACCCACGTGAATGCACCCCTGAATTCTAGGACTTTTCTGACTGCAAACAACCAACTGTGAATAGTGTGCAGCAGAGGGAAAGGAGAGTGGTGTGTTAAAAGTACATTCACCCATTGGACTTCACACCATAGAGTCGGAAACTGAGGCAAAGGACTACTGCCCAACGTACTGTGGGGTAGACGTTTACTTATTGTTTGCATACTTTTCAGTCATTTTTGTGATGTTTTCTCAAACTAATTCTGAGTTCCCTTTCACTTTTAATACATGTCCTTGTGCAGTGGTTCCCAAAGTAGGGGCGCTGCTTGTTCAGGGAAAGTCCCTGGCGGGCCGGGCCGGTTTGTTTACCTGCCCCATCCACAGGTTCGGCCGATCGCAGCTCCCACTGGCCGCGGGTCGCCGTTCTCAGCCAATGGGGGCTGCAGGAAGCGGCACGGGCCGAGGGATGTGCTGGCCGCCCTTCCCGCGGCCCCCATTCGCCTGGAGCGGCGAACCATGGCCAGTGGGAGCCGCGATCGGCCGAACCTGTGGACGCAGCAGGTAAACAAACCAGCCTGGCCTGCCAGGGACTTTCCCTGAACAAGTGGCGCCCCTACTTTGGGAACCACTGTCCTTGTGAGTGGAGAAGTATTGTCTCTTGGAGGCAACCAGGGATGGTGGTTACTATTTCCCAGATTTTGGGGGGGTAAGGACTCTATCTGGTACTAGTTTGTAATATTAAGAGGAACCCCTAGATATTGGACCTACCCCTTGTTGCTGCTGACCCCTCCTGGCAGAAAATGTAATTCTATATGTGACTGACAGTGCCTTGATTACAATGGTAAAGGAGTATGGTAAATGGCAAACACCTATACTGTTTACTTATAATCACAACCACTTCTTTTTTTTTTTTCATTTTCTTAATTCTACAGAATAAGAATGTTAAAGGGTAATACTCACTGCGTCTCAGCCCTCCCAGGCTTCCTGTGCAAACAGCTGATTCGCGGGAAGCCGGGGGAGGGGGCGGAGAAGCAGAGTGGGGCGGCGCATTCAGGGGTGGAGGCGGACTGGAGGTGAGCTGTGGCCGGGCGCGGGGCAGGGGAGGGGGGTGGATGGGGCAGGGGTCGGGGGGCATCAAGAAACGTGGGGGATTGGATGCGGGAGGAGTCCCTGGGAGGTGGGGGTGGGCCACAACCCCCTCGTGGGGTGTGGAGGGAACTGGTTGGTAAGATTTTGGCAGCTCATCACTGTTGTTTCTATATTGCTGTCACTGCAATAACCCCATGTAAATATAAACAAAACACAGGCATTGCCCACTACCTTGCCATGTGAAAGTGCTCCAGGCAAACTTGCCACATCTGAGGTGAACAAACCTGGAGACATTCAATAAAGTAGAAAAAATGTATTTTCTCTCCCCCTACATTTTTTAGCTTTGTAATATTTATTCGACAAATACATCAATGATGTTAAGTTTAACACGTTGCATTCCCCACACTCCCAAAGCTCCCTTGAAGCTGGAATTTAGTCTTGGGCAGAGACACTGGGACTATCAAAGCAGCCAAAGGGAATTAGGCACCCAAATCCTATTGAAATTCAGTGGCAGTTGGACTCCTAAGTCCTGTGGGCTCCTTTGAAAATTCCAGTCTCTATGCCTATTGTAAGCAAAGCTACATTATTTCTTTATCTCCAAATAGCTCCAAAACCATTTGGGAAATTTAGTCAATTTCAGAGGTGATTCTGCAAAAACATATACGTGTGACTATGCAAGCAGTCCCGGATCAGGCCCTTAGGTAGTACTGTGGGGAAATTAAAGGCCTGTAAAAGCTCAGGGCCAAATTCAGGCCTGTTGTAAGTTGTTTGGCTGCAACTCCAATGAATTCCGTAAAGATGTACCTGCTTACTGTAGATCTAAATTTGGCTAAGTCTAGGCTGATTTGGTTGCATTGGTTTGATTTTTCCCACCCTCTTTTTAATATAACACAAGAATTACATTTATAGCAACAGACATGTTATAATGTACTGTCCATCTTAGCATTGCAAAGTGCTATGGAAAGGGGTGGGACAAGCACTTCCCACACTTTATAAATGAGAAAATAGACATGGAGATCTTACACTGAGATCTACAGGGGCAGGCACCTGGGCAGCACCACGCTGAAGTCAGTGGGACTCCATGCGGATGCAGAGGTCCACCTGTGCAGAATCAGGACCTTAGTGACTTGCCAAGTGAGAGACTAGAAGGCCAGGAACAGAACCTAAGTCTTCTGAATCCCTCTGCAATACTCTTTCCATGCTGCAACAGAGAGGGCACTGCCTTGCCACCAAGTGAGTATTACAGCTGTGTTTTGGTTTTTTTTTTTTCTTTCCAGTATGTGCTGAAAGATGTTTACATACTAAGGTATTGTAGCAAGGCTGAGGGCAGCTCACAACGTTGGCCAGTTATCAAAGAACAGTACTTTTTAATAGTTATGCTTTCCTGTAGCTGATCTTTTCAGGCGTCAGCAGGCTCTGGTATGTGTTCAAAACAATGCTCATCAATGTAAATACAGTGGAGGTGCTTCCTTTTTTCAATTCTTCCAGGGTGATGAAATTTCTCATTCACTTATGAAATGCATCATGTTCTCAGGCCAGCATTGGAACACTTTGATGAAACAACTAGCTTGCTGTGCTGTGCTGTCCTTTCCCTGTCAACAGTAAAATTCAACCCATAACTTAAAAGGTTAAAAGAAAGTAATTGTGGAACAATCACAGTGAAACGCAAAAAGAATTTGTGGAACAGATACTGTACTCACATGAAGACCCACTCACTCCCTGATGCCGCTTTCAGGGGCCCAAGTCCTTTTGATATACAAATATACAGAGCAAGACTTTTTTTTTTTTTAATGGAAAATTTTTTAATTGGCTAAATGAAAAATTTTGCAGCAGAATGCTTTCCGTGCACATTTTCTCTCTGTTGTTGTTGTTTGTTGGAAAACCGGATAAATTAACATTTTCGGCTGAAAAGTGAAGTTTTAGGGTGAAACTTTCAATGGAACTCTTCCTGTTTTCTGAGAAGCTCTAAAAATCAGCACCTTCAAGTAGAAGTCACAGGAGACTCTCAGCACCACACAGAACCAAACCCATAGTTAGTATCTGTTCCACAGATTATTGCTAGATTCAGGTTTTTTAATAGTTTGTTTTTTTTTTAACCAGATTGACAGCCCTGAAGACTGGAGTGTGGACCAATATCAATTCTCAGTGAACGGGTTTAAATCCAGTTACTCTGGCTTTAGACCATTATAACCAAGAGCAGAATCTGGCCCTGTATTACTTTTTAGCCCCAGGAGAAGAACAGCATGAGGATTAGTAGTTAAAAGTTTTCCTCCTGCTGTGCCTCTTTGTGTCCTGGAGACTCGGGACCACATTTCCACCAGTGTAAACAAGGAATAATTCCAACCGAGTAGTGTGAGGCCTTGTGTGTTTCAACAATAATTAACTTTTAACCATCTGAATCTGGATCTTCCTATTATAATGAAACTATCTCAAAAAGGGAAAGCATATCTATTAACAAAGACAAAAGCAGAGACTTTTTTGGCAAGCCTGTATAAATGTACACAGGTTTAAAATATTGCTGAAGATATTGGGGGCTCCTAGAAACCTGCTTGTGAAAATTGCACCACCACATTAGAAGGTAGATTAGGATGAGTGCCCCACATAGTCACTCTGTCTGGCTACTGCAGTATAATTCCAGTCACACTTGTAACAGTTATCCCTGGAATTCTTAGTCCCCTTTGCCTTTGGAATATGGTTTGTATCAAAAGACCAGGTATTTTCAAAAAAATCCCATGAGAGGATCCTTTCCCCCACAACCTTCATATGTATATTAAAATTGGAAAGCAAATAGATTCATAACCTTTCTGCCTTCTTCTTCATGAGCGCGTGCATGCCTGGTTCAAGGTGTATAGAATAAGATAAGGGGGACAGTTTTGTGGGTGCCACTTGTTAAATTATTGGCAGCACAGCAGAAGATGATTCCTGTTTGATTTCCAGATTTGTTTTTCACTGGTTACAACAATGACACTGGGCCTGCCTCTCCACTCCAGTTATGTACTGGTGCAACTTCACTTGCTTCAGTGACTTGCCCTGGTCACATAATGAATCCCTATTAGATCCTCCAATAATAGAACCCATGAGTCCTGACTCACATTCACCTCCATTAGATCACTAGACCATATACTTGCCCTTGCATGGTATATGTAAAGCAAGAAAATATAATGGCTGAATTTCCCCCTCAGTTACACCCATGCCACTCCACTGATTTCACATTATTTTGAATACAATGCAGCTTCAGTGGTGTTTCTTGGGTGTAAATGAGGAAAGAATTTGGCCTGTCTCATCAATGATATAGTTCTTTGGCAGTTCACTGTATTGGGCATTTTGGACAAAAGTTCATTTTCACTTACAGGTCTGTAGATGACTTAGGTGTCACTGCTGTAGAATTCTTTTTAATAGTACTAGTCATAGTAACATCTGTTGGCTGCTGTAACTCAGATTTCTGCACACAAAAGCAGCGCTTGAGCATGTTCAGGATATCTGTTCTCCCAGTTTCACTCACAAAGCAGTACAGAATTGGGTCAGCAATACAGTTGAAACTTGTTAAGGCCTGTGTAATTCTATAAGGCTTAAACATATGGACAAAGTTGACATTGTTCGGCTCATTGATGCTGCGAATCAGCAACACAGCATGGTAGGGAGTGAAGCAAAAGAAGAAAGTAATGGTGATGCTCAATAGCAGCTTCTTGATTTTCTTTTTTTCTCTGTCTTCTGTGGCTTGATTATGCCTCACAGCCTGGTAGATTTTTTGGTAGCAAAACAGCATGATTGCCAAAGGGATCATGTATCCTGAGCATATCCGGAAGATGTTTAGTATGCCTTGCCATTTTTCCAAAGGATATTTATCATAACATAAGACATGGCTAGTGGAATTGCAAACTTGAGTGAATGTTTCATCCTTTACCAGAATCATACAGTTCAGGCTGGTTTCCAAAACCCAAATAAAGATGCTAACAAGCAAGGCAAATCTACTTGTGCGCAGGTGTTGGAACCTGAGAGGGTGAACTAATGCCAGATATCTATCAACGGAGATGCAGGTGAGGAAGGCAGCACTGGTGTAAAAATTCATGTACATAAGGAAGGCAGAAATCTGGCAAAGCAAAGCAGAGAATCGCCAGCTATCTTGATGCCAAGTGTAATCAATCCACAGAGGCAAGGTCAGAGTGTATAGGAGATCAGCTAGGGATAAACTGAAGAGGTATATTGCTAATTCATTTTTTTTCCTCACTTGTATACAAGATACACAGAGGAATGTGCTATTGACAGGAATACTGACCACAATCACAATGATGTAAACAAATGGAAACAAGTTCTTATCCAGATTGTAATCTTCAATGCACTCAAGAGTGCTATTCATTGTCCCCTCCTTAGAACAATCATTGAGTTAATTCCAGCTTGGATACAGAAGAGCAAGCTCTGTAGTCTTACTTTCTTCTGCCAATTTCCCAGGGCACAACGACAAGGATCCCATCCACTGCACTGAAATTTCTTTCTGTTGCAAGAAAAAAAAATCATTTGGTTGATCATTCAGTTAACCTGGTGCACAAAAATGCAGTGGTCCTTTGAAAGCTCTAAGCCAATGCAGGAGTAAAGGAACTAGACTCACAGGACTTGATTCTTATAGGGGCCAGTTGCTGCTCCCTGATTCAAAGCTGTCTAGCTTTGGCACAAATAGGGTTGTACGGGGACTGCCCCCAAATTATGCCAGTGGAGGAACAGGCATAGTGGAGTGGTTCTGTCCTGTGCCCCACCCTTCTAATGTCCCTGACACATCTCTTCCTTCCCGTTACACAGAGGATCAAGAAGGTGGCTGACACAGATAGCAGCAGAGTCTCCTGCACTAGCTTCAAACCAGTGGAGAGTTCTTGTGTGCAGGTGACATTCTTCACTGGCCTTTTCTGGATACTTTAAAGCCACTCTGCGCTGTCTACACAACGACATTAAGAAATAACTAACAGACTTGCCATCAGGTCAGTTTCATGACTCAGTATAATACCTGTAGCTTCAAATAATTAATTCCAAGATCAGAATCTATGCTGTCCTAATGCACGGGACAATCTCCCAGTTCCTATTCATGAAGTCAGCACCTTCTGCTCTTTCAGATCCCTTCGAAGACTTCCCTTCTGTCATGTTGCCTAAATGAAGTAAGTTTATTTTCTTGTTTAAAAAAGAAACGATTCCCGTTTACTTCAATGGGCTTTGGATCAGGCCCATAGCGAATGTAACATCAAATCAAGCTTGAATAGGTGACATAATTTCAAAGATACATGAGGGGCAGGGCCGCATGAAAGGGGTGGAGTTGGGGCGGGTCTGGGGGTCGAGCACTCAGGGGAAAGTGGGGAAGTCGGTGCCTTTGGTGGACACTACCTTTGTCGACTTTAATTGTCCTCCTGCAGTTATCCCACAATGCCTGACACTGATTGCTGTGGACATGCCACTGCCCGGGGTCACAGAGACCATAAGCCCCCCACATTTAAAATCTCTGAGAATTTTTGAAATGCCTTTTCCTGGTTGTCCATCTTGGTGAGCACACCTCTGTCTGCTCTCCAATGTTATGTGCAACTGACCAGCTGACTAAGCTGGCTACATGCTACTACATGCTGAAGTAGACAGGAGATACTGGATCTCTTGGACTGGTGAGGAGGGATAGCTCAGTGGTTTGAGCATTGGCCTGCTAAACTCAGGGTTGTGAGTTCAATCCTTGAGGAGGCCATTTGGGATCTGGGCCAAAAATTGGGGATTGGTCCTGCTTTGAGCAGGGGGTTGGACTAGATGACCTCCTGAGGTCCCTTCCAACTCTGATAGTCTATTATTCTAACAGGCTGTGCAGAGACAGCTCTGAACCAGGTGTAGCAATGTCAGTATCTACGGCAGATTGCTTGGAGGATGCAGGAGAAGGGGTACAACTGGGACCAGCAGCAGAGCCACATGAAAGCCAAGGAGTTGTGGCAGGCATACTAGAAGGCCAGGGAGGCCAACACTGAGCCACAGAGCTGCTGATCTTACAAAGAGCTGTATGCCATACTTGATGGCTACCCCACACACCACGGTAACTACCTCCAAGGAGCTTGAATCACAGGCCTCTGCCATGAACAACAAGGAGAAGGAGGTGGACAAGGAAGAGGTGTATGGCGGACTGACGAGTGGGGGTCTAGCTGTGCTGAAACCAGGCACTGTTCTTGACTCCACTACAGTTCAGCCAGTCTCTGCAGTCGAACCTTGGGTAAATAAATTTCCCATTACAGTTATGGCTCCCACAACTTAGCAGGACCCAGTGATTGACTTTTCATTAATTTACTTGCACTAGAAGAGGTGGCAGTACAAAACAGAGAGGTAGAGTTGCTGTCTGCTTTTCATTCCCTTCTAGAGTTGGGCTGGGGGGGGGGTGGACCGTGCAAAGTACCATATATACTCGTTCATAAGCCGAATTTTTTTAGTAAAAAAGGGAAGCATCAGAGAAGGGGGTCGGCCTATGAATGGGTAGAGAGAGGAAGAGGTGGGACACAGCCCCTCCCTCCCCAACAGAGGGGGCAAGGAAAGCCGCATAGCCAGCAGAGCTAGAAGGGAAGAGGCGGGGCCGGAGTCTCTCCCCTTGTGGCCATGCTGCTCTCCCCGCAGCCTCCGAAGCAGCTGCAGCCGTGCCACTTGGCCCCGGCCACCAGAACAGGCTGTGGCCGCAGCCCCCGGTCCAGCCCGCTGGAGCATGCTGCAGCCACGCCGCCCGGTCTGGCCCGCCGGAGCACGCTGTGGCTGCGCTGCCCAGCCTGCCAGAGCAGCTCCAGCCAGGCCAGAGACCTCCTCCCCGGCCCGCTCCAGCTAAGATGGGAAGGGATGGGATGGGGGGAGTGTGGGGGTCCCAGGCTACAGGTGGGGTCAGATGGGAGGTGGTCACAGGGGTTACTCCCCTAACCCCCAGCTTCTCCCACCCCCCAAAATTTCCCAACCAGTTGCTGTCCCGGCCCATGAGGGTAAGCAGCTGGCAGGCCGGGACACTTTGTTTACTTAGGTTTACCTCTGTGCCTGCGGACGCTTGAGGTAAACAAACCATCTTGGCCCGCCAGTGGCTTATCCTGATGGCCCGGGAGCCAAAGTTTGCTGACCCCTGAATTATAGTGTCGGCTTATGAATGGATCATAAAAATTTTCCATTTTTACTTATCCATCTTGAGGGGCTTGGCTTATAAATGAACCAGGTTATGACTGAGTATATACGGTAGTTTGTTTATGTACACAAGGATGTCCCTTTAATTCTCCTGACAGATCTCAATGAAACTTCCATGGGGGTACACTGCAATCCTCTCCCAGAGGTTTCTAGGGATGGTGGCTTTATTTTTGCCTTTGAGGTAGAATACATTCCCATTCCAGTCAGCAATAACTTTGGCAGGCCCTATTGCCTTAAAGAGGCAGCATACGGACTCAGGCAACTTCGGGTACCAGAAGTAGCTGTGCTCTTTTTGCCTTTGTTACTCTCAGGAGTGAGAGATCAGCTAAAATCAACACTACCTGTGGAAAACGGTGCCCGTATTCAGTGCGATTGCCCTATACTCATAAAAAGAAAAGGAGTACTTGTGGCACCTTAGAGACTAACCAATTTATTTGAGCATGAGCTTTCGTGAGCTACAGCTCGCTGTAGCTCACGAAAGCTCATGCTCAAATAAATTGGTTAGTCTCTAAGGTGCCACAAGTACTCCTTTTCTTTTTGCGAATACAGACTAACACGGCTGTTCCTCTGAAACCTATACTCATAGTTTCATGCCACTGAGCAATTCCCTACTTGGTTCTCTCACCCCTGGCGGGTCATACTCCCCATTGCTTGAACTGAGAGTGGCACTGGGCACGAGCACTCCAAAGTAGAAGTGTCAATAAGCATGTCTTGTTTAACACTTTAGGGGAGCAAGGGAAGGAGGGAGTTCTGAATCTTGAGTTTTGCTTTCCATTCCTACTATACTGACAATGGTACCACTGTGTTTTATCAGTAGTTGCAGCTGCTGTGGCTTTGAGAGGGATCCTCCACACCAGTGGAAGGACTGACTCAGATAAGGAAGAGAAAAGAGTACACAGGAGGACATTTTCTGTGAGATCCTGCAACCAAATGCTGCATCAGACCATGAGCTGAAGGTCTGGAGGGTCAATATTGCTGACTGTGTGGAGAAGAAAAAAGTGGACAGCTGAAAGGCCCAGGAGTCCCAGCAGGAAAAGGAGAGGGAGATGCAGCAGGACATAATGAAGCTTCTCTGGCAGCAAACACAGACGCTGCAGACTCCCATTGTAACAATCCTGGGCTCGACTTCCAATGCAGTTTGTGGAGAATTGCAGCATAGCGCTTTCCTACACCCCCGTCAGCATTCCACATGGCCTCAGGACCCACACGCCTACCCCTACCACTCCACCCCGGGGGAAAGCATGGACAGCCACAGCTGCATGTATACATCAACTGTGGCTCTCACAGGTCAGTGTATGTTGCTACAATGGACATCAGTGTTCCTTCCTCTTGTTTGTTTATTAAGGTTCCTCAATTTGTTTAAGTTAAAATGGATTTACTTGTAAATTCTTCAGATTTTTTTTTTTGGAGCTGTCTTTGTAAGTAAATAAAAATCCTTTGTTTTGAAAGCAATTAATCTTTAATAGTTTACAACACCTGATGTGTAAAGCCTGCCGCCAGTGAAAGTAGTGGTCTTGTATTCTCGCAGCCCATAGGATCAGTGCCAAACAGGGTAGTCATCATAAATGTGCACCAAGTACTCCATCATTAATAGATGTACTGTCGGTGATACAGGTGTGCAGAAAGCACCACACAATTCCTGCAGCCCCAGGTTGAGCACAGTACGCCACAGAATGTTACTGTGGCTCACTGTGCTCTTTCAAAGCTTCCCTAAGCCATGAACTCATTTGATAGCCCTTGTGTCCAGCAGTTCGAACTCAGCAGAAAAGCTGCTCCATGCCAGGGAACAAGTTTTCCCCTTTTGCTTCACAAAATTATGCAGGACCCAATAAGCAGCTATTGCCATTGGGGTATTTTTGAACTGAGAATGACAGTTGAATGTGCTTTTGGTAGATTGAAAGAGCAACTGTCATTCAACTGGTTTCAGAGTAACAGCCGTATTAGTCTGTATTCGCAAAAAGAAAGAGAGTACTTGTGGCACCTTAGAGACTAACCAATTTATTTGAGCATAAGCTTTCGTGAGCTACAGCTCACTTCTTAGCTCATGAAAGCTTATGCTCAAATAAATTGGTTAGTCATTCAACTGTCATTCTGTACCTGCTGAATCTTTCCTTGGTGCTGAAGAGATGGGTAGAGTTGTGAAGGGAGATGAACAGAGGACATTTTCTATGGCTGAACTTTAGAAAATGAAGCACCGCACAGTGATTTTCTCCTCCCCCCCGGCCAACATCTGAGGCTCCCACCTGTGGCACGAAAAGCTCTGGGAGAGTTTTGTTCTAATGTGAAACTTTCCAAAGTTATGACAGGTTTCAGAGTAGCAGCCGTGTTAGTCTGTATTTGCAAAAAGAAAAGGAGTACTTGGTTAGTCTCTAAGGTGCCACAAGTACTCCTTTTCTTTTTCCAAAGTTACATGCTTCTGCCTGGATCATAGAAATCAACAATGGGAAAGACCTGTTAGATCATATTGGCTCATTCCCAACAAATATGTGAAGGGAAGGTTTTGTGGCTAAATCCCAGAACTAGCTGGTAAAACACTGAGGCTGTATTTTCCCTTCTCAGTTGCAGATTTTCTATGTGACTTTGGGCAGACAAGAATCATAAGACTGGAAGGGACCTTAAGAAGTCATCTCATCTAGTTCCCTGCACTCATAGCAGAACTAAGTATTATCTAGACCACTCCTGACAGGTGTTTGTCTAACCTGCTCTTAAAAATCTCCAATGATGGAGATTCCACAACCTCCCTAGGCAATTTATTCCAATGCTTAATCACCCTGATGGTTAGGAAGTTTTTTCTAATGTCCAGCCTAAACCTCCCTTGCTGCAATTTAAGCCCATTGCGTCTTGTCCTATCCACAGACGTTAAGAAGAACAAATTCCCCCCCCCTTGTAACAACCTTTTATGTACTTGAAAACTGTTATGTCCCCTCTGACGTCTCTTTTCCAGACTAAACAAACCCAATTGTTTCAGTCTTCCTGCATAGGTCATGTTTTCTAGATCTTTAATTTTTGTTTTCTGGACTTTCTCCAATTTGTCCACATCTTTCCTGAAATGTGGCACCCAGAACTGGACACAATAT